ATAGACACACGCAGAAACACCTACAGACAACAGCATAGATACACACAAACAGACAGACACACATACACAGACAAACATGCAGCCAAGCCACACCCACACGTAATCACATACAATCACACACACAGACACACACGCAGCCACACATACAGATAGGCATTTAAAAAAAAAAACACAGACACACAACACAGACTGACACGCACACTGACACGCAGACAGACCACACACACAGACACGCACGCAGACACCATACAGACAAACAGACACACTCACAGACACACGCCTACGCACAGATACAAACACACAAAACGTGTACAGTTACCTATGCATACACAGAATCATACATGCACAAAATACGCCTACACACGCCTGCATGTCACACATATCCGCATACAAACATATCATACGTACTGCAATTAATTATAACTAGTAATGCATTGTGGATTATTAACTACATTTAAGGTGGCATGTAATCACTGATAAATCATGAAATGAAAGAGTTTGCGGTTAAATGAGTAAGGACTTTTTGTAGTTTTCAAATCGAGTGGAAGATGGTTCCATAAATGAGCAGCAGAATATGACAGACTTGTTTTAAAAAAAATCAATTCTGGGTGTAGGCAAATGTAATAAACCTAGTCGCTTGCTATTCTTAGGATTAGATTGAATAAATCGGTCGATGTAATTTGGAGTATCTTTAGATAGGATTTTGTGAATAAATTTGGTTTTATTAAAAATTAAACGTTTACTAAATGGCAGAAGCCTTAGATGTCCATATAAAAGATTTTTCTCGATGTAGTTTCTATCGGAAACTAGGCGTAAGACCCTATTTTGTAGAGAAAGCCGTTTGACATTAGATTTGGAGCAGCCATCCCAAATTGTGGAACAATAGTCAATATGCGTTTGAATGTAGGATACGTAAAATATTTTACGTGTATTTTCGTCCAGAAAGTGCTGAATTTTTCCAAGAGAACATACAAGACGTGTAAACAAGAATACAAGAACTAACGGGTTTCAGAAAATATACAGCAAGTAGTTGATTGAAAACAAAAGAATGTGAAATATTACTGGACAAAGAGAAAGTAACTGAAAGGATGACAGGGTATACAAAAGAGTCATACGACGAGAACAGCAGACCAGACATCGTAGAGGCCACGGCCTTCTCTATTGGAGACGGCGTTGGTAGAGGCATGAGTATTGGGAAGGGCCGCCGAAACTGAAGCGGAAGTGGAAGATGTTAAAATAACAATGGATAATTCATGTCATGGCAACACATTATACACAGTCCTCTTACAACTGTTAGTGTGCAAATCTTGTTGTAAACGTCTGTTATTAAATTAGTTGCCACAACTGGTACACATCTTTATGTTAACCTTCCACTTAATGGCGGTCTCATTATTGCTGACTCGTTTTCACGTCCCTCAAACTAGTTTTGCTTCTCGTCTAGAGTGATAACTTTTCCCGGTATTTACCTGAAATGGCATTGCTAGTGTCTCTGTCCTGTACAAGTCCGCAGTTATTCTCATATTTCTGCTTTACGTTGTCCAGCATGAGAATGGGATGCCTGGGATTCCGAACACATTTGCTACATCTAATGGAATCGTTTTTACTATGAACAAAAGCAACATTCAAGGTAGCTGGTAAAACACCGGGTTGGTTTGGGGTCCAGAGAGAAGTAAGACATTCTCTCTCTCTCCATCACTTTTTTTTTTTTTAAATATGTGCGGAAATTCTGACGAGAAATGCAATTATTGAAGGGGCCTGTTACAGCTTCATTCCGCTCAAAATTGGAGGTAGACTACCAGAGAACTCAGATATGCAAACGACACGGCTCTCCTTTCCAAAGTGTACATGGCTTATCTTAATTTTGACTGTAAAAAAGGACAGTGAAGAAAAGAATCTATTTCTAAATGTGGAGAAAAAAAAATTGTTAACTAAAATGATGTCCATAATTAATATAGCACACCAACAGCGTATTAAAATCGACAACGAACAGATTGAACATGTCTCAAGTTTTGATAAATTAGGTTCATTTATGAACAACAATGGCGACTGCACATAAGAAATTAGAAAAACACTTGCTTTAGCATAACAGAGGCTAAACAGCATGAAGAACCTATAGCATTGCAACTGTAAGCAAGTTAAAGTGAAAATGTTGGATCGTGCATCTTTCTCAGGCATGTGAGGCTAAGAACCAGGGAACCAGACATTCAGGACGACCGAGCGTCCGCTGGTACGATACAATGTCCTTGACTGACAGAGGACAAAGCAAGAAAACTTCTGATAATTAGGTTTGGCGATCCCTATGGCAAGCCTCCACACCCAAGGTACAAGAGGCGCGACTAAGTAAGTAAGTATCTTTCCCATGGCCACTTATGAATGTGTGTCGTAACGTAGACTCTCATTCTGTCTTCGAAGAAGAAAATCGGAACTTTTGAACTAAAATGCTACAGATAGGTCTTAAAATACCGTGGACTAAGAAGAAGAAAACCCTGACATCCCGAATGACCTTAACATCAAGGAGAACAGGCTCGTAAACAGCATCCTCTCCCGAAAGCTGAGTTGTTGTTGTTGTTGTTATCGATCCAGAGGCACATGAACTTTCGCCCTTTGGCCCAGTGCCATGCTGTGGAATTTGCATGTTTTCACAAGCTGTTCTTTTCCTCCGCACAAGGTGTTCCACTTGTCTGGTCTCTGAGGGAGTAGCATTCTTCTAGTCTCGCTGAGTTTCCCGAAAGCTGAGGAATTCTGGACATGTAAAGTGCCATGATAGTCTGGAGAGAATGGTGAGAGACATGGATATTTGGGTTAATTTGCCCGGACTAGGACTGCCAAAGTTGGTACTGTTTGACCCTTGCCGAGCAAAACTGTACTTTTTGGTACCACGCCTGGCATTTTGGTACGCATTCGAAATTTCACATCAAAATTTTAGTATTGTGCAGATTCTTTAAAAAACAGGGCATGGAGAGTGTCCTGAGACTAAGCGTGATGAAATTGTTGATGCAAATGTGCCATTTGTCGTGATTTGCCACGTGCGCTTTTGTTTCAGCTTTAAATGCAAATTTAAGAATGGAGTGAACTAGTAGTGCATGATCTACCACTTAATGTCGAAAACACACCAGAACATTTTTGGTTTACAGTTTCAGAACAAAAAATCGCGTTCTATTTGTATCCAAATTTGTGTTTAGTCTTTTGTTTTGGTATTGCCTCATTCCTCTACAGCTGCAGACAGTGTTTTCTCTCTGCTTTTACAACATTTAGATTATATATATATATATATATATATATATATATATATATATATATATATATATATATATATATATATATGCATGGGCATTTACAGCACGCTCAGGGGGCAGAACAGTCAAAGAAGCCAACGGCGCCTTCTCCATGACAACCAGCAGCATGACGATGGAGGTGATGGCAGTGACACAAGCGCTTGCCTGGCTTGAAACACAAAAATACACCCGCGTGTGTATACTCAGTGATTCAATGAGTATGATCCGGAGGGTTCAGGCAGGTTCAGTGCGAAGACAATGGCTTGAATCATTACAGAAGTCCACTGTTCGTGGAGTCACCTTTATTTTTGTTCCGGGACACGCAGGCGTCGATGGAAATGAAAGAGCTGACAGGTTGGCTGGATCCGCTATCACTACCGACGGTCAGCCTATAGATCATGCTGATATTATCAATGCCCTCAGAGAAATGGGAAGAATAGAGGACTTTGGTGGCAGTGAATCCACATCACTCGCCAGAATGGCAGACTTGGGAATTAAGATCGGCACAGCAAAAAACGAGACGCACACCAGACACGCCAGAAGACTTGTTAATCAACATAGAACTGGTACTATTAGCCATCGGACGTTGGGGTTCATACTGAGGGAAGGATCTGAGCACCTATGGACATGTCCGGAGTGCAATGAGGATAACCCAACTAACTAACTAACTAATATATATATATATATATATATATATATATATATATATATATATATATATATATATATATATATATATATGTGTGTGTGCGTGTGTGTGTGTGTGTCATCATCATGTAGCAGGTCCTTTGACGAATGTCACTCTCATCACGGCCTGAATGAAACAAACTCGGTCTCTCATGTACTTTTATACTCAAGGAGTATTTGAATGTGTGTGTATATATATATATATATATATATATATATATATATATATATATATATATATATATATATATATATATATATATATATATATATATATATATATATATGTGTGTGTGTGTGTGTGTGTGTGTGTGTGTGTATACACATACGTGCTTGTGTGTGTTTAGAGACGTTTAAACGGCTCTGTCATTCTTCTTCTTTGTCTTCCAGCATTGACATCAGCGAGGTGTTGGGAGTCGATGTAAGGATCATTTGTGCTGTTTTTCCAATGCATTTTACGTTGGTGTTCATTTCTGCTAGGTTGCTCCTGTTGGCATCGCTCCCAATCTTGCTTGGTCTTCCCCTTGATCTGTGTTAATTATATTTGGTTCGATGATTGAAAGTTAAAAATGTTACATTTGATGTGTTTTGGTACCTTAAAAAAATATGCACTGTCCCCAAACTTTCAGCAGCCCTGGCCTAGGCTATTGATGCATGTTTGGAAACGAGGAGGCAGAAAGGTTGGATGGACTAGCCCAACTTGGGTATGTACTGCAATTTCACAAGGCAGAGGTGATCTCTCGCCTATGGGACAGGCAACAAGTAAAATGGAAGACAATGAAAACCAGCACCTGGAGAAAATGTTACAGCGGGCACTGTCTGTGGGCTCTGTACGCCACTAGAGACTCGGGGCAAGACGAGGAGTTAACCAGATGACCATGGGAACCATCAGTTCGACAATATGAAGATTCTTCGCTGACTGTTGAACCCAGAGGTTTTGATCTGGCTTCAGGATAAACTGGCAGGTTTTGTCCGTGGCTTTCCCGGTCCTGTTTATGAGATCGTTTATTTCTATAATCTACAGACGTCACTGACAAGATGGCGTCGGCGAAGCAAAACATTGGGATGTCCGCTCCAGCTTCTTCTACCAAACAACATGCCGTCGGCGGCATTGTCGATGATTTTATGTACGGTTCAAACGTCGCCTCAGCCCACATCTATATTCGCATGGGTAAGTTAGTATTAGTTATTATTCAAATGTTATCGTAATGACAATTATAATGAGTGACTGTCCCTGGCTGCCTGACCTGACACCTTGGGTTTTTTGTTTTGTTTTGTAACATTATTATATAGGTACTTTGGTCAAATTTTTAAAATGCCCTCTACACTAATAAAACCAGCACATTTAGATAGCTGTAAACAATCTCTTTCCAATGGTACCTAGTTTAGCCTTGTATGTCATTTCTGAGCTGAGATATGTAGGTTTTTGTGGAGATGAGATGTAAAAAACAGCTGCTAAAACTTGAGAAACAAGAAGTTTTCTATGCGCAGCCAAACTGCGCAACTTTCGTTTTGGCTTTGTTTTCATTGGACAAGATGGCAGACAATTTTTCTCAGACACAGCCACATAATAGCAATTGCATGAAAAGTGTCACTGTAAAACGAAAGCCACAGATAAGAAAGAAATTTTGGCTCTACTGGCAAATCCGGACGAAGAATAAACAGACTTGGACGACTTAGTCAGAGTTATCTCCCGTCGCCGCACTCTGAACAATAATCGGAAAACAAACGAAACAAACGACACACTTACCTATCATCCTGCGGTTGCGTGAAGGGCTGCGTACGGTTGCGTGAGACATCATGGCATCATCATATGGTTGCGTGCACAGTTGCGTACGGTTGCGTGAGGCACTGTGAATGGTTGTGTAGTCATCATCATGCGGTTGTTGGATTAGAGTTAGGGGTAGGGTTAGGGGTAGGGTTAGGGTTAGGGTTAGATGTGAAAATTTTGACGTAGGATTTCGAAATACTGGCCGACAATATGATGTTTGTGGGAGTGGCGCCACTGAAACTCTGCCAAATATGACGCCAATAGCGTGCGGCTGGTGCCCCCAATCGTTGGCGAATTGTGCGTGTGACCAGCATCCAGAGGCCCTCGATTGTTTGTGTGTGTGTATGGGACTGTGCGCGATTATAGGGAACTCCGGCGTCAAAATCGTCAAATCTAACGCTAATCCTAACCCTACCGCTAACCCTAATCCTAATCCTACTCCCTAACCCTAACCCCTACCCCCCTAACCACGCAAATTTATCGATCATTAAAGCATACAAATCGGCAAACACGAACAAACAAAACACACCCAAAAAAAAACACCCAGAATTGTCCTGCAGCGTCGAAAAAAAAACCGATCTGGGGGAAACAACCAAGCATTGGCAGCCCTGATGTCGACGTGACTGTCTTCTTTGTTTCGTTGTGGCTTTTCCGATCACTGTTTGGAGTGCCGCGACGGGAGAGAACTCTGACTAAGTCGTCCAAGGCTGTTTATTCTTCGTCCGGATTTGCCAGTAGAGCCGAAATTTTATACACAAATGTAAAATTGGACGGAGAATTCAATTATAACTAGCATTACCATGTCTGGCAATGTTTAAGGCCTTAAAGCCAACTGTGAATACTTAGCGTTATTTTCAATCAAACCGATGTAACAGAAAAACTAGGGATTACGATTCAAGTGACCCACTTAAAAACGAAAGTAGAGATCGCTTAGTTACAAGATGGCGTCGGTGGTCCACGAATAATGGCTCCTTTGCCTATCAGTTACTTTGAAATCCTGTCGCTCAATACTCGCTGCTCAGAATCGAATATGTGGGCTCAAAGTTATTCAGAAGAGGTCGCTCAACCAAACGACACCTAACTTACATAGCGATCTTTGTTCAGCCAAATAAATTTCACTATTTGCCATGCGGGAAGTAAATTTCTTTAATATCTCCTTTTTAAAGTGAATATATATACTTTTAATTGTCATTTTTGGATTCTGCATCCATTTTTACATAAATATGGGCAGTTTTGCTGGAATCTTTACATCACAAAATTTAAACTTTCAATTTCTTCCCGGTCACTTCTTGACAGCTAAATCGGCGATTTTTCAAAATGGCTACCGCATGGCCTAAAAGAACTGTTTATCTCAGATTAATTAATCTAGTTATTTATAGAAACAGTTAAAAAAAAATGCAAGTTTTATTTGTATTAATAATTTACCTTTATTTAACTTTAATTTCACATGAGTTTTAATAATTTTAAATACCTGAAAATAATCTTTTAGCACGTTTTTAACATAGACTATTTTCTAGGGTTTTTTGCGTTTAAAATGGACGCAGACAGTGGTTTAAACATTTTATAATATAATAATAGTATTAAATGAATATATAGTAGTTATTTAATCATTTTTTGAATCTTTAGCCATTATAGCATTTTTTAAGCCATAACCTATCATTGGGCGTGAACAACATTTTTTGTTTGAAGCCTTTTTACCTGTTGACCCCCCACTCCCCGCACCCAGACTGACATTTTGGACGCAGACAGTGGTTTAAACATTTTATAATATACTGTTAAATGAATATATAGAAGTTATTTAATCATTTTTTGAATCTTTAGCCATTGTAGCATTTTTTAAGCCATAACTTATAATTAGGCATGAATAACATTTCCTGTTTGAAGCCTTTTTACCTGTTGACCCCCACTCCCCGCACCCAGACTGACATTTAAAAAAATGTCAGTCACACATTTCTGCACTGATTTTGTGGTGCAAATTTATTGTCTTAAATAGTATAAATAACAGTTATTATTTATGACTGATACTGTTTTAAAATTGTAGTATTGACTTATAAATGATGATTTAGAAAGTTAATTAATAAAATTAATAATAATATATTATAATATTTTCAACTGAATAAATTCACTTACTTACAACTTATGATTAATAATATTTAATCACAGATCACGTGGGACATAGATATGTTAATAAAATATAATGTTATTTTTCCTCTTACCTTATGAAATGCTGCTCCATGAAAACACAACATAAATCCAAAGCGAATTACATCTCCATTAAAACACAACATAAATCCAAAGCGAATCACAAAGGAGCTTATTTAATAATTTTACTCCATGAAAAACATAGCACTGAGTCACAAATCGGGCATGAGCGGTTACCTTAGATTATTTTGAACAAGTAAATAAAATATCCAGCAGTGACTAGTTAAGAAGAAGAGGTGAACACTGTGGTAAAATGTCTCATCATCAATAAAATAAAAGAATAACTCGCAAAGATTGAAAAAGCGATTATGTTAAATCAGTAAGAGGGGCGCTCATTTTCACCTGGTTATAAAACAATATAGGAATATAGGGGTCTCCGTATCAAAGGGGTCAAGCCATTAACCTCGCGCTCGGAAGATTGTGGTACGTTCATTTACAACTGCATTGTTCAACTCAAAAATGCATTTTTTTTTTAGCGGAGACCTCTGAGGGCTGTTGCTGGAGCTACGGTATTCAGGCTTCGTGCTAAGCTCTCGGCATGCGCTATTTGTTCAGTTATATGGAGAAAGACAAAGCCATATAAAACCAGTAACAATGCAGTGAAGTCAATCCACTCGCTATTAAACATTTTTTAAACAGTGGAATAAAGCAAATTTCGGTCAGATGTATGCACACACACACACACACACACACACACACACACACAAGTGAGTATGCGAGAAAAAGGATTTTTTAACAAAAAGAAAAAGATGCATCATAACAGGAAGAATAGATACAAAAGTATATATATATATATGTACATATATTCCAGTATACGTCTTGCAAGACTCACTGGATAATAATAATTAATTCATAAGGTATTTAATGAATACTGATAAATTTACTCATTTTTATGTTATTTAGGTTTGCATCACATCATATTTTTAAAAAGGCAACAACTTTAGTTAGAGCTTGCTGCCCTGAAAGCGATGACATATGGTTGCTAAGGGGTTCAGCAAAAAAACTTGAGAGTTATTGACATTAAACATGATAAATTTAGGTCGTTTTCACTTGGGAACACGCCGCCATCTTGTTTCTGTGTTTTCCATTATAATTTTTTGAGGGCACTTTCCGTCACTGAAATGTGAATATCTCCGCTTAGAATTGACAGACTTCATTGAGGTACCGTTGGACTCCGTTTTTCAACCTCTATTCAGCTGTCTTGGTTTAAAAGTAAAAAACCCAAAATACAAATTTTGACTAAAATCCCTAGAAAAACAGAGGACGTCCGGCTGTCATAGACATGCGCTGTTAATCGGGTTCGTTCCCGCCGTTTTAGGCTATTCATAGCTGGTGAAAATCACACCAATCGCAAAATTTCATGAGAGATTAGGACCCATCCCGAAACACCAGCCGACATTTCCCAAACAAGTTTCAAACGGTTTCCATGGTAACGGAAATTGCCAAAAAGACCGCAAATTGTCGAAACTGTAGTCGCTACATTATATCTTTTTAACGACTGGTTGTTTATTGATCGATTTTTTATTAATTTCATTATGTAAGAAAAAGACAGTAATCTAATTACAATAAACAGTTGTAAATGTCCTTTAAACTATCTAGTTGAGAATTGAGAATATTTGAAACAAGTGGAATGTCCGGGATGTTTTGTGTGTAGACTTCGTCCAGTACTGGATTGGATATAATTTATAATCTGGTTGAAGATTGGCTATATGGCGAGAAATCACCATGACTGTTGACTGTGAAAGTTTGGCAGATCAAACCAGATGACTTTGTCTTTAGTTACATCCCATTAACACAGGGAGGAACACATTCTAAGCATTCTATCATACCTCCATCTATGTAGCTGCCTTCATCATCATGTGACAGTTATAACTCTTTGAGTCTCATACGGTTTAGCATCAGAGGCTCAAGGGGTGGTAATGCAATTTTTTAACTTTACAAGTGAAACACATTAAAAAACAGACCATAGAAATTCAGTTGCTCTGCAACATACACATATTATATATCAAAGGGATTGTTGAGGAATAATTTTAGAATACAGCTACAACAAATAATTGCATTAGTAATTAAATATTTGTAAATAGACAGACAGTATGTTTACAAAAATTAGTAAAATGAAATAACAAAATTTCCACTCACCACCATGGTACCCAAGAAAAACTGCTTAAGATGTATCCAAAATGAATATGAACCACTTAGTAATGTATAAGTAAAATATCAAATCAGTCAGTACATTAGATTCTGTTCCAGAGAATCTTTTGAAGCATCATTAGAGAGCACCTTTATTTGGTAAAGAAAACTGACTCCCAAAACAAAAAGTATCTTCACACAAAACAAAGTTTATATAACACTCAATTTGCCTGTAATTTTGTAACTATGTTCCTAAATAATAAGGGGAATAGCACTAGAGCTAACCGACACTGAAGAAAATTGTCTTTTCACTGTTTATTCTGTTTGTGCCAGCTGACTTTGCTATCGTTGTACCCTTCGCGTGAGTTACACATTACTAGACATATCGCTCATCAAAATTTTACTCTATAAATGACTGAAACATGTCTAATTTCAACGTTATCTATCTAACTTTGGATACATCTAAAAAAAAAGTATTTTATTTAAATTTTTGTCTTCTAAGGCTGTAAATTATGTTGGCATCCACGTAGAATACTGCTTGGTGGCCATATTCTTTTTAAACACATTATCAACTCAGCGAATCTCGCAAATATACTATATTTTGGCTTTCAACCCACATTTGTAAATGAGCACGCCTGATATCAGACACAAAGAACTCTAAAGGAAGTTAAAATTGAGCGGTCCGCATTTTATAACCGGTCAGTGGTAGATTAAAAACCTTGACTTGTCAAGTGTTGATTGGGCCCCGCGGTTGTTACAAATTAGTGTGTGATGCGTTCCCTGGTACTCAAAGAGTTAAAACATTTCTTCGCTCTTTTGGAATTAAAAACTAATGAGAACATAATGTTTATGGTTATGTGACACACACAATTTATTGCCTGGCATATTTCACTGTATTATGGCATGTGAACACCGGAGTTTACTTCAGAGTATACTCACTGACTAAAGCATGAACATAAATCCTTCTAATTGTTTGACATTTTTTGGGACTTCTGATTGATTAACACAAATCTAAGATTATTATAAATTTAATATAACCCATATATTTAATATCATTTTTAAAACTACTTTTCAGCCTGGTAGTCTTAAACTAACGAGTTTCTTTTATTTGCATTACATGGAGCTTCATTAACATTTTGTGTTTACTACAGTGAAATTCAGAATACACTTCTTTGTGTGTGTGATAGATTACCTGGAAGGCACTGTCTATATATTATATCACCTGCCCAGAGATTACCAGATAAATGCTAGGGACACATTTGCATGTTTTTTCTCGACTGCTTTCTCTTTGCTAAATATTCTCTCAGTAATGTCTGCATTCATTTTGGAATGTGCCCTATTTATTGTCCGTATGTCTTTCAATTATAATGTCGACTAACTTCATTCCAGAATGGTTGAACACACTAATGGCTCTCATCTTTAGAAAATGAGGCACATCAGCTAAGAAAATTTAGGGGAGAAGAGCAAAATGTCTTCATAGAATGTCATCAGACTGGGTATTTGATTGATTGCAATTGGATCTGTTGACATGAATTTGTTTGTGTCTTTAGGATTTATGCGGAAGGTGTTTGGCATTCTGACTGCACAGATTCTTGTAACCACGATCATGGCAGCACTGTTCATGGTGAGTGAGCCAGTGCAGGAATTTGTGCAGGGCAGGTGAGTTCTTGTTGGCCACAATCGTGTGCATGTTTGTCTTCTGTGTTTATAAGTTATCCCCCCTCCCCAAATCTCTTTGTTTCTCTTACTCTCTAATCTTCTTTGTCTGTGTCCACCTTTAAACAGGCAGTTGGCACGTTGTGTTGTGTTCACAACTATATTGCGGCTGCCATATTTGAGCTGTTGGGGCCGTACACATCTGATTTGAGCTGTTCAGGCCGTACACATCTGATTTGAGCTGTTCAGGCCGAACACATCCGATTTGAGCTGTTCAGGCCGTACACATCTGATTTGAGCTGTTCAGGCCGTACACATCTGATTTGAGCTGTTCAGGCCGTACACATCTGATTTGAGCTGTACGGGCCGTACACATCTGATTTGAGCTGTTCAGGCCGTACACATCTGATTTGAGCTGTTGGGGCCGTACACATCTGATTTGAGCTGTTGGGGCCGTACACATCTGATTTGAGCTGTTCAGGCCGTACACATCCGATTTGAGCTGTTCAGGCCGTACACATCTGATTTGAGCTGTTGGGGCCGTACACATCTGATTTGAGCTGTTCAGGCCGTACACATCCGATTTGAGCTGTTCGGGCCGTACACATCTGATTTGAGCTGTTGGGGCCGTACACATCTGATTTGAGCTGTTCAGGCCGTACACATCCGATTTGAGCTGTTCGGGCCGTACACATCTGATTTGAGCTGTTGGGGTCGTACACATCTGATTTGAGCTGTTCAGGCCGTACACATCCGATTTGAGCTGTTCAGGCCGTACACATCTGATTTGAGCTGTTGGGGCCGTACACATCTGATTTGAGCTGTTCAGGCCGTACACACCTGATTTGAGCTGTTCGGGCCGTACACATCTGATTTGAGCTGTTGGGGCCGTACACATCTGATTTTAGCTGTTGGGGCCGTACACATCTGATTTGAGCTGTTCAGGCCGTACACATCTGATTTGAGCTGTTCAGGCCGTACACATCTGATTTGAGCTGTTGGGGTTGTACACATCTGATTTGAGCTGTTGGGGCCGTACACATCTGATTTGAGCTGTTCAGGCCGTACACATCTGATTTGAGCTGTTCAGGCCGTACACATCTGATTTGAGCTGTTGGGGCCGTACACATCTGATTTGAGCTGTTGGGGCCGTACACATCTGATTTGAGCTGTTCAGGCCGTACACATCTGATTTGAGCTGTTCAGGCCGTACACATCTGATTTGAGCTGTTCAGGCCGTACACATCTGATTTGAGCTGTTGGGGCCGTACACATCTGATTTGAGCTGTATGGGCCGTACACATCTGATTTGAGCTGTTCAGGCTGTACACATCTGATTTGAGCTGTTCAGGCCGTACACATCTGATTTGAGCAGACTCAGCATTAACTACCTTTACCACATTATCCTTGTTATAGGGCAGTAGCTCCCCCCCCCCCCCACCCCTGGAACCCACACTGGGAGCTCTGTAGACATGTTTGTGTGTGTTTGTATATGAATATGTGTGTTTGCATATGTATGTGTGCTTGAGAGAGAAAGAGATAAGAGAAGAAAGTTGATAATTTCATGAGATTAGAATATGAGCCTCAAAGTTTTCCTTCCTGACTTTTACCATACTTTGCGATGTTCAGTTGTTTTTCTTATTTCCCAATTGCTGAAGCCAATGCTTGTTTTAAACAGAATCTATTGTATGTTATTAAATATGGTAACTAAACCCATGTCTGATTTCTGTAATCAGTTTGTGGTGACCTTGTCTCCAGGAGAATTGCCTTGTTTGTGTTTCTGTTATATCTGTACTCTTGGCATCCTTCTTCACAAAACCTCACATCTGTGGCGTCAGTAAATGTGTTTCTGTTATATCTGTACTCTTGGCACCCTTCTTCACAGAACCCCACATCTGTGGCGCCAGTAAATGTGTTTCTGTTATATCTGTACTCTTGGCACCCTTCTTCACAGAACCCCACATCTGTGGCGCCAGTAAATGTGTTTCTTTTATATCTGTACTCTTGGCACCCTTCTTCACAAAACCCCACATCTGTGGCGCCAGTAAATGTGTTTCTTTTATATCTGTACTCTTGGCACCCTTCTTCACAGAACCCCACATCTGTGGCGCCAGTAAATGTGTTTCTTTTATATCTGTACTCTTGGCACCCTTCTTTACAAAACCCCACATCTGTGGCGCCAGTAAATGTGTTTCTGTTATATCTGTACTCTTGGCACCCTTCTTCACAGAACCCCACATCTGTGGCGCCAATAAATGTGTTTCTGTTATATCTGTACTCTTGGCACCCTTCTTCACAGAACCCCACATCTGTGGCGCCAGTAAATGTGTTTCTTTTATATCTGTACTCTTGGCACCCTTCTTTACAAAACCCCACATCTGTGGCGCCAGTAAATGTGTTTCTGTTATATCTGTACTCTTGGCATCCTTCTTCACAAAACCCCCATATCTGTGTCGTCAGTAAATGTGTTTCTGTTATATCTGTACTCTTGGCACCCTTCTTCACAGAACCCCACATCTGTGGCGTCAGTAAATGTGTTTCTTTTATATCTGTACTCTTGGCACCCTTCTTTACAAAACCCCACATCTGTGGCGCCAGTAAATGTGTTTCTGTTATATCTGTACTCTTGGCATCCTTCTTCACAAAACCCCCATATCTGTGTCGTCAGTAAATGTGTTTCTGTTATATCTGTACTCTTGGCACCCTTCTTCACCAAACCCCACATCTGTGTCGTCAGTAAATGTGTTTCTGTTATATCTGTACTCTTGGCACCCTTCTTCACAAAACCCCATATCTGTACTCTTGGCATCCTTCTTCACAAAATCCCACATCTGTGCCACCAGTAAATGGGTTTCTGTCATGTCTACTTATTATCAATGTCTCACACACATATAACAATCATTATCAGCATGTTTATTACTGACTGATGTGGGCGATCACGACTCTCCACAGCTTGCGGTCCCCAAGAGCATGTATTAGCTCCTGTACAGACATTCCTCTGTGCCATAAGGAGAGATATCGGCAATCTTTTCACATTGTCTTCTTTTCTCTCTCAAAACAGTTTCAGTTGTCACTACATGATATGTTTTGTCTCTTTTCATAGCATAGTGACATAAAAAATGATGACAGTCTCTTTGTGATGTTTGTAATAGTTGTCTTCAGGCCTTAAACTTTTTCTAAACTTCTGGCTTACTCACTTTTGGCTTTCCAATGAATTGTAAGCATTGTGCTGTAGAAGAACTGTTAGTCTCAGTACTGGTTCTAGAATGCACTTTGACCCCCACCACCAACACCATCACCAAGGGAGTGGACATCAACAAGCTTTTTGAAAATGCATTATTCCATGTCTGTTGTAATGAGTTTGTATGTTTTGTGTTTGAACTGCATTGTTTTTATGGACTCTGATATGCGTAAATGACGTTTTCTCTATTTCTCTCAGTCACTGGATGCTAACCTTGAGCTTATTTGGAACAATTGGTGTGTTGTTTGCCTTGATGTGGAAGAGACATGAAACACCCACCAACTACATCTTGCTTGGTATCTTTGTAAGTATGCTTGTCACTTAGCAGTTGTTGTCTCGGTGGTCTTCACATTTCTGTTCACCATTAAGAGCCTCCAGCTAGCTTGCCAGTTATGTTATTGCTATCGACGTCACTGCACATTGGGCATTCCCATGCATGCTCAGTCCTCTGATGCAGCAGCCACTCCAAGGTACTTTTACAAACTCGAGTGGGACATAGACATGTCATACTTTACTCCCACGTTACCCAATCGTGTTAGTGTCAGAGATTCGTCATTATCCCCTAGCCCAGTCTGTACAACGTTGACGATATCTGCTCTGTCCCTGCTTCTTCCCACATGCGTTGGTGCATTGCTTGCCAGTTGGTCTGCTTGCTCGTTACCCTTTACACCTGTATCACCAGGTGTGTAGCTCCAGATGATCATGGTCAAATGTGATTTTGGAATGCTTTCCACCCATTCAGAGCACATACTGCCTGTTTCTGTCTTCTGAAGCATGTTCATGGAGTAGGATACAATGACTGTGTATGTGGCTGTTTGCTCTGATGCCCATGCTAGGGCTCTAGAAGCAGTGGCAATCTCCCTGGTCATGTCTGACGTGGTTGCCTGGTAAACATTGCTGTCTTCTTGTATTGTTTTCCCCATTATTTGAGCTGCGTTTACCCATGCTGACCTTGATCCGTGCTTCATGGATCCATCTGTATAAATTATGAAGTCTTCTGGGTATGAATGCTGATCTGTCAGTGCCCTTACCTCTGTGTGTACGGCCGCAGGAATCTGATCCCTGCAGTATTTTCTCAGTGTGATGACAACCTTAGAGATGCTGCGTGTCTAATCGTGTATTTGTCCATTCTTTTCTGTGACTGATCTCATCTAGGTCACATACCTGCTGAAATAAATCTTTAGCTTTGGCCATCCATGAGTGGCCTCTTTTGAGACGCATTCCTTTTGTGTCGTGTATGACTATCATCATCACCAACCTGTTATCATCATCACCATTGTAATTATCTTGTTCATCATCACCATTGTAATTATTCTGTTCATCATCACCCTTGTAATTATCTTGTTCATCATCACCCTTGTAATGATCCTGTTCATCATTACTGTTGTAATTGTCCTGTTCATCATCACCCTTGTAATTATCCTGTTCATTATCACCCTTGTAATTATCCTGTTCATCATTACTGTTGTAATTGTCCTGTTCATCATTACTGTTGTAATTGTCCTGTTCGTCATTACTGTTGTAATTGTCCTGTTCATCATTACTGTTGTAATTGTCCTGTTCATCATCACCCTTGTAATTATCCTGTTCATCATCACCCTTGTAATTATCCTGTTCATCATTACTGTTGTAATTGTCCTGTTCATCATTACTGTTGTAATTGTCCTGTTCATCATCACCCTTGTAATTATCCTGTTCATCATCACCCTTGTAATTATCCTGTTCATCATCACCCTTGTAATTATCCTGTTCATCATTACTGTTGTAATTGTCCTGTTCATCATTACTGTTGTAATTGTCCTGTTCATCATCACCCTTGTAATTATCCTGTTCATCATCACCCTTGTAATTATCCTGTTCATCATCACCCTTGTAATTGTCCTGTTCGTCATTACTGTTGTAATTGTCCTGTTCATCATTACTGTTGTAATTGTCCTGTTCATCATTACTGTTGTAATTGTCCTGTTCATCATTACTGTTGTAATTGTCCTGTTCATCATTACTGTTGTAATTGTCCTGTTCATCATCACCCTTGTAATTATCCTGTTCATCATCACCCTTGTAATTATCCTGTTCATCATTACTGTTGTAATTGTCCTGTTCGTCATCACCCTTGTAATTATTCTGTTCATTATCACCCTTGTAAATATCATGTTCATCATCACAGTTGTAATTATCCTGGTCATCATTACAGTTGTAATTATCCTGTTCATCATTATTGTTGTAATTATCCTGTTCATCATTATTGTTGTAATTATCCTGTTCATCATCACAGTTGTAATTATCCTGTTCATCATTACTGTTGTAATAATCCTGTTCATCATCACCCTTGTAATTGTCCTGTTCAACATTACTGTTGTAATTATCCTGTTCATCATTACTGTTGCAATTATCCTGTTGATCATTACTGTTGTAATTATCCTGTTCATCATTATTGTTGTAATTATCCTGTTCATCATCACAGTTGTAATTATTCTGTTCATCATTACCTTTGTAATTTTCCTGTTCATCATTACTGTTGTAATAATCCTGTTCATCATCACCCTTGTAATTGTCCTGTTCATCATTACTGTTGTAATTATCCTGTTCATCATTACTGTTGCAATTATCCTGTTCATCATTACTGTTGTAATAATCCTGTTCATCATCACCCTTGTAATTGTCCTGTTCATCATTACTGTTGTAATTATCCTGTTCATCATTACTGTTGCAATTATCCTGTTCATCATTACTGTTGTAATCATCCTGTTCGTCATTACAGTTGTAATTATCCTGTTCATCATTACTGTTGTAATCATCCTGTTCGTCATTACAGTTGTAATTATCCTGTTCGTCATTAGATCTATTAGGAGTCGGCATGACATGAAAAGATAGTATTATATATTTCTGTCAATAAGTCGAAAAACAAGAACTTGCTAAACCTATTAAGGACTCTGTCACATTTATTTATGGAAGTCTGAGGTGACAAACACATAGGCTGCCAGCAGCTGAACTGTTCTGGTGCAATCAAACATGAAATCAGATGCAGTTACTGAAGCCCTCGGGTGTGAGGAATAGTCAGGCTCATGTTTATGAATTGCCAGGTTTAATTGTGATGTTTTCCTCTATGTATTTCAGACCCTGATGGAGGCGTATGCTGTTGGTGTAATTGGTAAGTTAGTTTTTTTTTTCTTCTTGCATTGTGTCTGAAAATTTTGAGTTACTTATTCATAGATTTGGCAATGTACAGATAAAACTAAAAGGTTATTATCTCCCGCACATTTTAAAGTAATTATATGTAATAGCATATCTCATCAAAGTAGTTAGATATAATTTTGAATGTAATGACATATCATGTCAGAGTAATTATATATAATGTTGACGTGATATCCATTTCACAGTAATTATATATAATGTTGACGTAATATCCATTTCACAGTAATTATATATAATGTTGACGTAATATCCATTTCACAGTAATTATATATAATGTTGACGTGATATCCATTTCACAGTAATTATATATAATGTTGACGTAATGACATATCTTGTCAGAGTAATTATATATAATGTTGACTTAATGACGTATCTTGTCGGAGTAATTATATACAATGCTGACATAATGATACACAAGAAACTCAACAAAAGTCTTGACTCTATCTAAAAAGAGTATCTGGAGAACATTGCTCTTATTTGCATAGAACATGAAATATTTAACAGTTGAATGCTGTTTTGTTTTGTCTTGGCTCTATCTAAGAAGAGTAGCTGGATAAAATTACTCTTATTTGCACAAAACATGAGATATTTAACAGTTGAATGCTGTTTTGTTTTGTCTTGGCTCTATCTAAGAAGAGTATCTGGAGAACATTGCTCTTATTTGCATAGAACATGAGATATTTAACAGCTGAATGCTGTTTTGTTTTGTCTTGGCTCTATCTAAGAAGAGTAGCTGAAGAACATTGCTCTTATTTGCATAGAATATGAGATATTTAACAGCTGAATGCTGTTTTGTTTTGTCTTGGCTCTATCTAAGAAGAGTAGCTGGAGAACATTGCTCTTATTTGCATAGAACATGAAATAGTTAACAGTTGAATGCTGTTTTGTTTTGTCTTGGCTCTATCTAAGAAGAGTAGCTGGATAAAATTACTCTTATTTGCACAAAACATGAGATAGTTAACAGTTGAATGCTGTTTTGTTTTGTCTTGGCTCTATCTAAGAAGAGTAGCTGGATAAAATTACTCTTTTTTGCACAAAACATGAGATAGTTAACAGTTGAATGCTGTTTTGTTTTGTCTTGGCTCTATCTAAGAAGAGTAGCTGGATAAAATTACTCTTATTTGCACAAAACATGAGATAGTTAACAGTTGAATGCTGTTTTGTTTTGTCTTGGCTCCATCTAAGAAGAGTAGCGTCATGCACACAGATTAGCAACTTCAAGAGTCAGTTGCAGCTGTTGAAGGCTTCATGCAGGAAAACTGCCGATTGATTATGAGTGACATTGACACATAGACATTACTCAATGTTCAGCAGACCTTTTCTTCAATACGGGTCTACAGTACCACACATGGATAACAGAATTCTACCCCTATTTGGTGCATGTCAAAAGTGGGGTGGCCATCTTTAAACTTTCAATACGATGTCACCATTTCATTTGCACTAGAATGTCATATGCTTAAGACTCTTGACATCCTTTACAACACTGACAGGTTACAAGACCATGCATAGTTATTGTAATGTCTTTCACACTTTTGAGGTTTTCATTTGAAGTTCTCTCATAGTTTTTCCAGGCAAATTTGAACAAAGTTAGGGCAACTGATGTGATCAGACCATATCTACACCACACCCCTTTCTGTCCCACATCCTCTTTCTTATTTCTCTTTATGTAATTTCTTCTCATTTCCCATCTTCTCAGATCTTATTCCGCTATGTTCGCTTTTAGCAGAATTCAGTAGATACTTTATTAATTGCTTTTTACAACTTGTTTGTTGTGGGAGCAGTGAGTCTGTCCCCTCCTATATACCATACAGGGTCTTCCTTAGAACACATGCAGGAGTTGGGGGATTTTGTTAACGTCTTCTTCTTCTTCGCGTTCACCAGCTGTACACTCTGGTGGAAAGTTCTGGCTGTTCGTCCACTTCTGAACTGCAGTCCTGCTCCAGAACCTGAGTGTTGCGTGTGCATCAGTTTTACAGATCTGATTCACTTGAATTCAGACTGTTGGTTCCTTGCCTCTCAGGCAGATGCACTCCGACTTCAAAGGAAGCTCTCCAGTTAGTCGACTCGTACGACATGCTTCTGGGTAGGCAGTGGGTCTATTCTTGTTATCCCCACGATGTGACCCCGGAACCCACACAGGAATGTGTTAATGGGATTAGACACTTTTGTCTTGTATATTTGCATGTGAATTAATAGTTGATTACACAGACTGTACAGTGTGAAATGTTGTGTGTTCACAGGGCTATGATGGCACTGTACGGTTTACTTCTAGCATCTTTAATGCAGGTAAGTGAACTTTCTTTGATTGCTGGTCTTTATCTGAACCTTGGCAGGATGTTGACAATATCAGCCACTTGAACCTTGGCAGGATGTTGACAATATCAGCCACTTGAACCTTGGCAGGATGTTGACAATATCAGCCACTTGAACCATGGCAGGATGTTGACAATATCAGCCACTGAGTGCAGATTGCTCTCTAGAAATGTAGGAGTAGCATTGTGTGCCGGATACACCATAGGGGGGGAAAGGGGCCTTTACTGATCTCTTTCTTGGGAAGACATTTCAGTGAGCACTCATTTCTAGGTTTATGTCCAAATTTGGAGAGATCTTGTCAGTACTGATACACTGAAAGCTTGTCTGGCTTGGTCCTGTTGATGACATTGATCCTGCTTAGAATAATTACCTTCTTGTACTGTTATAGCCGGGAAACATTTACTCGTAGCAGAGCTGGGAATTTTGGGAAGAATGCAAAAAATAAAAACAAATGATTAAATCCCTCTCAAGACAGATGGAAGTTGTAAACTTGTTAGATGTAGACAGTCTGTGTGTTTTGGATATGTGAGGAGAATGGACTTGACAACTGGTGACAACTGGTAAGATTGATGGAGAGAGCAGGAGGAAGGCAAAGAGAGAAATACCTGGATGGCTTGGCCACATGGATAGGACGATACAAGAACATTGATCCGAACCATGATTCTGGTGATTGTGTGAGATGGTGAATCGTGACAGCCCACACTCACCGGGCACAGCTCATGATGATGATGATAGTGTGTGTTGGTTCTGTTGATTATGTTTATGAATTTAATTGTGACATGAAAATAGAAACATCAGAGAGAGAGAGAGAGAGAGACCTAGAGGAAGATGAATCAGAGGTGTCACTGATAACCTAAGACTTGACAGCATACCAGGAATTCAAGCATGCACAGACTCAGCTACCGATCTTTTCACAATGTCTAGGTTACTCATTTGGCTGTCTGAAGAATTGTTTTGTTTTACTTGTTTGTTGTGTTTTAACCAGTTTTGTATTTGATGAGCATGAACTGTCTACGCTGTTTTGTTGCCTTTTTATTAGTAATCACATTTTCCATCACCCCATTTTCTTCAGCACTTTATTATTTTATAATGTCAACAGTATTTATTTCCTTGGGCAGTGGTTGTTTGATAAGTCTGAAGTATCCTGTCTTGCCTGTATATCTGTGCCGTCTTCACACTGAAGGTTGACTTCAGTGTACCAACAGTTGACTTTGGCAATATTATGCAATGAGACCGCTATTTCTATTCTGCTGGTAGCGTCTTTTTTCCTAAGTCTTGATTTTCTTCTTTATTGATGATGAAATGGTGCATGACACTGATGTGCATGGTGCCCCATGAAAGATGTTTGTTCTCCACACCTTTGCCTTTATTTGTTGTCTATTGTATATCAGATACTTGTCCGTGCTATATTACATTGCTGTGGATGTTATTGTAGATTGTTTTATGTTACATATTTGTGAATGCTACCATAGACTGTTGTATATTGTATGTCAGATAATTAATTGTCCATGCTACATTACATTGTTGTGAACGTTATTGTAGATTGTTGTATGTTATATTACACTGTAAATGTTACAATACAGTTATATATATTGTATATCAGATATTTGTCCAACCCTATTACATTGTTGGGAATGTTATTGTAGATTGTTATATGTTATATTACATTATTGGGAATGTTACTATAGATTGTTTTATATTATGTATCAAATACTTGTACAAACTGTATTACATTATTGTGTATGTTATTGTAGATTGTTATATGTTATATTACTTTGTTGTGAATGTTGCCATACATTGTTGTGTATTTTATAATAGATTTTTGTTTATGTAACATGGAGTTTATTATTTATTTCATGTTAGAATGTTGTGTATGTTGTATTACATTTTTTTTTTTTTTTTTTTTTTTTTTTTTTTTTTTTTTGTTTTTTTTTTTTTTTTTTTTTTTTTTTTTTTTTTTTTTTTTTTTTTACCTGTATATTATGACTGTCAGGTGTGTTACATTAGACATTGTATGGGTATTATATTACATAGACATTTGTATGGGTATTATATTACATAGACATTTGTATGGGTATTATATTACATAGACATTAGTATGGGTATTATATTACATAGACATTTGTATGGGTATTATATTACATAGACATTAGTATGGGTATTATATTACATAGACATTTGTATGGGTATTATATTACATAGACATTTGTATGGGTATTATATTACATGGACATTTGTATGGGTATTATATTACATAGACATTTGTATGGGTATTATATTACATGGACATTTGTATGGGTATTATATTACATAGACATTTGTATGGGTATTATATTACATAGACATTTGTATGGGTATTATATTACATAGACATTTGTATGGGTATTATATTACATTGCATACATTTTATTATATTGTCATGTATGTTATACATCTGTATAATGTGGAACCAATGTTAGGCCGTCAGTATGTCTTCGCCAGGTTTTCCTGCCAGTGCCTGCTCTACACATGGGTATCAGTCTGGCTGGGGCCGCCTTGTTCTGTGTGTTCATCATTGTGGACACCCATCTTCTGATGTCCAAGCTGTCTCCGGAAGAGTACATCCTTGCTGCCATCAACCTCTACCTTGATATCCTCAACCTCTTCCTGTACATTCTGCGTATTTTGGGAGAAAGAAAGTAGTTCTGGTGGAATGCTTCAATCATTTGTTACTGATATCATTTTTGTGTTTATAATTTTTTTTTTTAAATGGTGTAATCAGGTATTGAGATAGCTAGAGGATGGTTATTATTTTAACTTTTTTTTTTGTTTAAGATATTTTATTTATTAATTTTTGCCACAGAAAAACACAGAAACAGATGCTTCCTTGTCTGAGTAATTTTTGCTGAGTGTTCAGTCATTCAGTCTTTGCTCTCCCACTCTAGGGTGTAGAGGCGCCTTATGGTTGTATCATTTTGGCAAAATTATACACATCCTGTCTTGAATATGTTACAGAGACAAACTTGAGGTTTAAACCTAAACAGAAACAGTAGTTTGTGGCTATGCCCCACCATACAGTCATGAGGTTTAAACCTGGACTTGAACAGTAGTTTGTGGCTGTGCTGCACCATACAGTCATGAGGTTTAAACCTGGACTGGAACAGTAGTTTGTTGCTGTGTCTCACCATACAGTCATGAGGTTTAAACCTGGACTGGAACAGTAGTTTGTGGCTGTGCTGCACCATACAGTCATGAGGTTTAAACCTGGACTGGAACAGTAGTTTGTTGCTGTGTCTTACCATACAGTCATGAGGTTTAAGCCTGGACTGGAACAGTAGTTTGTGGCTATGCCCCACCATACAGTCATGAGGTTTAAACCTGGACTGAAACAGTAGTTTGTGGCTATGCCCCACCATACAGTCATGAGGTTTAAACCTGGACTGGAACAGTAGTTTGTTGCTGTGCTGCACCATACAGTCATAAGGTTTAAACCTGGACTGGAACAGTAGTTTGTGGCTGTGCTGCACCATACAGTCATGAGGTTTAAACCTGGACTGGAACAGTAGTTTGTTGCTGTGTCTCACCATACAGTCATGAGGTTTAAACCTGGACTGGAACAGTAGTTTGTGGCTGTGCTGCACCATACAGTCATGAGGTTTAAACCTGGAGTGGAACAGTAGTTTGTGGCTGTGCTGCACCATACAGTCATGAGGTTTAAACCTGGAGTGGAACAGTAGTTTGTGGCTGTGCTGCACTATACAGTCATGAGGTTTAAACCTGGACTGGAACAGTAGTTTGTTGCTGTGCTGCACCATACAGTCATGAGGTTTAAACCTGGACTGGAACAGTAGTTTGTGGCTGTGCTGCACCCTACATTCATGAGTTTTAAATCATACTAGAGACAACATTAGGAATGTGCCTACAGCAGATTGACTGTTGATGCACTTATGTTGTGCATGCTTCAGATGCTGCCCGCTGCTCTCAGAAAGAAAGGCCATATTCTAACCGTCTTGGAGCTGATGTCACGCTGCAGCAGGTGATCATAATTGACTTGTGACCTTGGTTTTTTTTTTATGTCATGAATATTCATCACTGTTTTATTGAAAATGTCATTTTTTTGTTTGGTGTGGGGTTGTATTGTGGCAGGTATTTGAATTTAGTTTAACATGGGAACTCAGTGGATGTAGCCAGGTCTCTGTAGATGTTGCCAGGACTCAGTGGATGGAGCCAGGACTCGGTGGATGTTGCCAGGACTCCATGGATGTTGCCAGGGCTCAGTGGATGTTGCCAGGACTCAGTGGATGTTGCTAGGGCTCAGTGGATGTTGCCAGGACTCAGTGGATGTTGCCAGGACTCAGTGGATGTTGCCAGGACGCCATGGATGTTGCCAGGACTCAGTGGATGTTGCCAGGACTCAGTGGATGTTGCCAGGACTCAGTCTCTTCTTGTGATCTGAGATCCTGCTGTGAGTTACAGGTTGGAAATAGTTCCTTAGACTATGTTATATGAGATCCGACAGTGAGTTACAGGGATGGAAATAGTTCTGTAGACTATGATATATGAGATCCGACAGTGAGTTACAGGGTTGAAATAGTTCTGTAGACTATGGTATTTGAGATCCGACAGTGAGTTACAGGGTTGGAAATAGTTCTGTAGACTATGGTATATGAGATCCGACAGTGAGTTACAGGGATTGGAAATAGTTCTGTAGACTATGGTATTTTCCTCTGAAATTCCTATTGAATATCTACTTTCTCCTGTCACACCATGCTGCAGAGGCCTCCTACCATCTCCTGTCAACCCAGCCTAAAATGGTTGTCAAGAAATGTTTTTGGAGGCAAAGGTGGCTGATGTAATTGTGACCACATTAGCCACCGAGTTCCTGTTGCTCTAACAGCATAGTACTACCACAATATACCCATGTCTCAATGGGTTCTTTAATTTGCTTACTTTTACTATTACTGGAGCTGACAGAAACTGTCACTTGGTATAATTCTTACCTTTACTTTTACTGAGCTAATTACTGGAGCTGACAGAAACTGTCACTTGGTATAATTCTTACCTTTACTTTTACTGAGCTAATTATTGAGCTGACAGAAATGGCCAGTGGATGTAATTGTTAACTTCACTGTCCGTTAATTTTACGTAACATATATGGATAAATAGAGGCAGTCATGACAGTTCTTCTTAACTTGTTAGTGTTCACTTGTTTTAAACCCTAGTGGAAAGTTCTGGTTGTTTACCCTCCCTCTCCTGGGCTTTGGTCTTGATCACCGGTCTCTAAGATCCAGCTCATCTGTATACAGAATGTTGGTTCTGCACCTTTCAGGCAGACACTTTGACTTCAAAGGTAACAACCCTTTAGGGACATGCCTGTTAGGGCGGCTGTAGGTCTGTTCTTTATTACCTCAAAAAGGGGCCAAAAAACCCTCACAGGGAAATGACTTTATTTATAAAGAACTGTCAGTCATTAAAACATACACTCAAATATATGAGCTTACAAATGCACTTGTGCTGCTATTGTGATATGTTTTTATCAATAACTGTCTTTTTCTGCTTCTGCAGCGTTTTGTTGAGGGGAAACAAGAATTATATTGTATTATAATTATTTAATAAAGAATTCACAATCTCTTAGATATAATGATATAATACACATAACACACAAGTTTTGAACCCACTGTGATTATTTTTGCGTGGATGTTTACATTCACAAATATTAAAAATGTGTTAAAGCTGACATTTGTTCCCGTGTTTGTTTTTCAGTGATGAAATGTTTAATCTTCTCTCCAAGCTCTTCACAAGTGATTCTGTCAGACCATTCAGTTATACTGTTTTGTTCAGGCTCCAGTTTAATACTACCATCACCACCACCACCATCACTGCCACCATCACCACCACCACCACCACCATCACTATCACCACCACCACTGCCACCATCACCACCATCACTGCCACCATCACCACCACCACCACCATCACTGCCACCATCACCACCACCACCATCACTGCCACCATCATCACTGCCACCATCAGCACCACCACCATCACTGCCACCATCACCACCACCACCACCATCACTGCCACCATCACCACCACCACCATCACTGCCACCATCATCACTGCCACCATCAGCACCACCACCATCACTGCCACCATCACCACCACCACTGCCACCATCACCACCACTGCCACCATCATCACCACCACTGCCACCATCACCACTACCACCACTGCCACCATCACCACCACCACCATCACTGCCACCATCACCACCACCATCACTGCCATCACCACCACTGCCACCACCACCACCACCATCACTGCCACCATCACCACCACTGCCATCATCACCACCACTGCCACCATCATCACCACCACCACCACTGCCACCATCACCACTACCACCACTGCCACCATCACCACTACCACTACCACTATCATCACCACCACCACTGCCACCATCACCACCACTGCCATCATCACCACCACTGCCACCATCATCACTGCCACCATCACTACCACTGCCACCATCATCACCACCACCACTGCCACCATCACCACCACCACTGCCACCATCATCACCACCACCACCACTGCCACCATCACCACCACTGCCACCATCACCACCACTGCCACCATCACCACCACTGCCACCATCACCACCACTGCCACCATCACCACCATTGCCGCCATCCACACCACTGCCACCATCACTGCCACCACCACCACCACTGCCACCATCACCACCACTGCCACCACTGCCACCATCACCACCACTGCCACCACCACCATCACTGCAATAAAGACAGATAACAAGACAGCAACCAAGACAGATAACAAGACAGCAACCAAGACAGATAACAAGAATACCGAAGATGTCTTGAAAGAATTTGACTCACAATGAGAAATGATTGCCCAAATCAGAAGGAGAGTACATTGTGACGATGAGAAGGTTGTTGAGGCAAAGAGAGAAGATCCTGGACTGTTTGATATAATTGCATGGGAGATCATCTGTGTCAGAACTGAATGCACCATTGATGTACAAAAGTGCCGTTTAGTGTTTTTAAAGAAGATTTTGAATAGACAGGACTACCACCAACACGGCCCTGCATGTCCTGTAAGAAGCAGAAGAATGTCAAGGAAGGTAAAGGTGGCAGGCCTGATGCTGACCACATTATTGCGTGCTAAATTCACTGGGCTGGTCAGAGGCGTGATTGCCTACGCCATTCGTAGGGCACAGGATGATGATGGTAATAGAGATGTGGGCAAAAGTAGTCCGTGTGGCTTGACGAGTGCAAAGATTCATGATGTGACGATTCGTGAGGTGTTTCTAAAGATTCACGGAATATCATGTGCACGCATTCGTGAAAGACTCGGTGTTTCTAGAGATTCGACCGCAGATATCATATTCCATGACTTGCACGGGCTTAGCAGTGAAAAGTGTGAAAAACCTTGCGTGGCTCGGTGAAGGATCTAAAGGGAGACAGTCGATCAGGGAGACAGTGCCTCTCAGCAAGTCCAAACGTTCGAACGCATGTTCCGGTGTCTGTGAATTCATATTTAGATGTCTGAATTTTTAGCAGTAATTCGGTGTATTATTTTAGTTCAGTGAAAGTTGAAAACTGCATTAGAACTTTGGTGTATGAGTCAAAATGTTCCCTTTGTGCGTATTCTGTTGAGACAAGGCGTGGAGGGCCCAACATGTTATTTGCCACAAGGCCGACAGAAGTTGAGTGGTGAATTGTGGCCCAATTGCGAGGGCAGCAGTTGTGTAGTGTCTCTTGATGATTCTGATGCGAATGTGTGTCGAGAGACTTGTTGACTGGGGCCGAGTCTCTGATCAGTTACCATGTATCGGTTATGGTGACCCGAAGTGTTAAATGTTTTTAAAGCTTCACGTAAACCAAGGATGGCAAAGAGCTCTACAGTAATCACCATCTGATCTTGGGTTGACCGCGATCCGCCCTCTTGGAGGCGAAGGTGGGGGGGGGTTTCAACGACCCAGTGAAACAAGACAGTATGGAGTATGTTGTGGACTCGCGTCGAGTCGAGGCTATGTGTTCTTTTCACGTGACACCGCCTTGGTAGCATATTATAGTGTTTGGTGGAGCTTTAGATGGACAGTCGTCCGGTATCACCAGTCTATGCTCAGCGTCATGTTGTGTTGTATCCAAATAAACAGGCTGAAGCACAAGTAAACTCGTCCCGTTTTGTTGATGTGGTTGCCTGCGGACTGTTCTCATTGTTAGTATTATGATAGGACTATGAGAACTGTGTTAACCTAGTACTCCCAGATAGGCCCACAAACCCATTAGTCGCCACACATGAGACTAGTTGTGCTGCGGGGGGGGGGGGGGGGTCGCCACAAACTATAATATGAGTCATCTTTTATACACTTGGTTAGGGAGCTCGCAACATTAGGTTACACAGATCACCTCCCAACATACATCTCCAATCCGGTGCTGGTAGATCTATACAAACAGAGTCTAGCAACGTATGCCCAAGGCACCATTGGTGTATAAAGGCTGTTTAATGTTCCAGAATATTCTGGAGCTGGCAAAGAATCAGCTCTACAGTATCACATTGGTCTTGAAGATCTAGGTTAGCGGTTCCCAACCTGCGGGTCCTGACCTCTTGGGGGAGGGTGGTCCAACAACCTTTTCGCATAAGATCACCGGAAAACACATATTTATTGAAGCTAAGTAGGAGAATAATTGTTTGAAGCTCCCCACATGAGGGAACTGTATTAAAGGGTCGCTACAACATGAGGGAACTGTATTAAAGGGTCGCTACAACATGAGGGAACTGTATTAAAGGGTCGCTACAACATGAGGGAACTATTAAAGGGTCGCCACAACATGAGGTAACTGTATTAAAGGGTCGCCACAACATGAGGGAACTGTATTCAAGGGTGGCCACAACATGAGGGAACTGTATTAAAGGGTCGCCACAACATGAGGGAACTGTATTTAAGGATCGCCACAACATGAGGGAACTGTATTAAAGGGTCGCCACAACATGAGGTAACTGTATTAAAGGGTCGCCACAACATCAGGGAACTGTATTAAAGGGTCGCAGCAAGAGGAAGGTTGTGAGCCATTGCCCCAGGTTGTTTTGCCTCATTCTAGAACAGTGCCAGTGTTTGATTGTATAAACTTCTGGACATCATTCATATACATTTATGCTTTATACATGATCGAGCAACATGGCCCAGTATCAAAACAGTTTTTACCAATTAAAATTAGGGCAAAAGTGTATTAAAGTAAATAGGTGACTGTGCAATATGAATAAACAATAAATGAATAACTCAGACGGCCGACTTATGACCGTTTGATCCCCTGCTGGCATTGAAGACTAGGGCCACCCAGTTCTACAGTTGAATTCTTCTTACCTCAGGTACCTATCGCGGCTTTTTCAACTCTAAAAATCGTGAAACTCGGTAACCCTCGGTGAAAGTTGTTGAAGTTTGCCATACAATCTAAACAGACATGTCCTTGTCAGAATTGAAAAATGCAAACATCTATTTTTAGTGTTGTGCCTTATGTGGATTCACCGTGGCGTTGTCGGCTAGATGCCCGCCCTGTGGATCAGAAGGTCGTGGGTTCGCGCCCTAACGGAGAAGTACTTTTTTTTTTTTTTTTTTCAAAAATGACCTTAACTCACAGGTCGACCCAGACTTGAGTGGGTAGCATGCGCGGCCGGCGTGATGCTGACCACATCACCCACCAAAAGCCGACTGGTCTATAAAATATAGATCTAGCCCTACATTTCCAGTAGGCCTAAAGGCGTGGGAAATGGGTCCCTTTACTTTACTTTATTTATGGTATAGGTAACAGCAGACATTGATTCAAAGAAAACAAGCAGGTTTACAGTCACCTGAGTAGCTAGAAATTTTCAAAACATGAAATTACAAGCATGTCATTGGTGTTTCACTCTCAGCTGGTTATCTACAGCATCAGCCTCCTCTGGTGAACACAATTTTTTCACTGTATGCGGGATAGGCTATCAAAATAATCATCACACATCGCTAACCATGCAGATTGATTTGCAAATGTAGGTCAATTTCTATTTTTTTTTTTTTTTTTTGGGCGTACATAATTAGTCAAACAAAGATAAAAGAAGTTGGCAGGTTTACAAAAAACAGAAGTGACTATGCCGGCGTTATTTCGGTGTGTTCCGGTGGTCGCTTGGTACTTTATCAAACATAGGAATCAGCTGAAGAATAGTACACACACATATCTGTACACCTTGTCAGATTTAGACATTTTTATGCCCTAACTTAAACGCGTTGGTGGCAAATGGAGAGAATATGACGTTATAAATTTTTCTTTTCAGCTCAGGATAATGTAAAAAAAAAAAAAAACTTGAAACTATTCGGATGTAAATCCTACATGAGCATATTCCAGAAAACCCTTTAAGTATCGGCATCAAGAATCATCGTGGTGTCTTAGCACAACCATCCCAAGTCTAGTTGTTTGTTACTGACATAGCGACGTTCTAAGGCAGCATTTACCTTAATTTAAACATAAGTTGTAATCTCCACTCATGAAATGTGAATTTACCCGGGAAGAAGGGGGGGGGGGGGGGGGGGGGGGGGGGGGAGATAGACCCACTGCTTTCCTTACAAGCATTTCGTAGGAATCGACTCACTGAAAGAATTCTTTGAAGTCGGAGTGAATCTGCCCGAGAGGCTAGGAATCAACAGTCCTCACACAAATAAGCCAGATCTGTAAAATGGATGTTCACGCAGCGCCCAGGCTCTGGAACCGGACTAAAGCCCGGAGCTGGACGAACAACCAGAACTTTCTGCCGGAGTTTACAGCCTCTGTACGCTAAGAAAAAAAAAAGATTTTACATTAAAAAAAACAAACCACTAATTTGTGTTGTGTTGACACACCACTGGTACAATAATCACAGTTAACCCCCCCCCCCCCCCCCCCCCCACTGATACAATAATCGCATTCCCCCCTCACCCCTCGCAAAAAAAAAAAGTTTTGACAACTGGCGCTTTGCCTGTCGTACATTTAAAAAAAATCTTTGGAAAAAAAAGGTGGGGAAGGGGGTGGGGGGAGATTATGCAAGTGAAGATAGAAAATGACGACAGAATCTAGGAAGTCTGTGCAGACGAAGAAGTCTGGGCAGACGACATACTCTGGAAGCCGGAAGTGGCTGTGCTGCCGTTACTGATGGCGTCCTCGCAGTTGTCGGTGAGTGCAGGGGTCATCGGGGAGATGTCGTTGTAGAGAACGTGGTCGTATCTGTTGAGCAAGTTGCTGGTAATGGTCATGTTATGGTAGGGCGGTTCACACCATGTGTGGCGGGACTGGTAGTTGCCCTTGTTTCTGTACACAAACTCCAAAGATGTTTTCTGGTCGTCCATGTCCTCTCTGGTCACAGGAAGCGGGTGTGAAGATTTCAGCCCATGGGCGTGAAGTTCAAGGTAATTCTAGAGCAAAAAATCAAAAAAAAAAAAACAAGCTACAACTGACAATAAATTTGTACTAGAGTGTATACGCACAAACTAAAAGATAAAGGAATCACCGAACGTATCTACCTGACCTGATCAGGAAGGAAGATACAACAGTGCTGCATTTGATGCAGCCTTTATGGTTGCCCTATTGGTAACTTCTCAGGAGGTTGAACTGCCTATCTACGATTTGCTCTGTTGGACTTTCTTCCAGGATGTGACTCTTTGAGTCGCTAGGTTGATCCAACTTTTAGCTAGCAACCCTGAAGGAAAGAAGAAGACACTACCAACAGATAGTAAACAAAACGACACGGGAGACTACTGAGCTTCACATTATCTCAATCCCCCGTGTGGGTTGCGGGGCCCTATTGTGGAGAAAACAAGAATAGACCCACTGCCTCCCCAAAAGCATGTCGTAAGAGTCGACTAACTGGGGAGCTTTCTTTGAAGTCGGAGTGCATCTGCCTGAGAGGCAAGGAACCACAGTCTGCATTCCAATTGAATCAGATCTGTAAAACTGATGCACACGCAACACTCAGGTTCTGGAACAGGACTGCAGTCCAGAAGTGGACGAACAACCAGAACTTTACACCAGAGTTTACAGCTGGTGAACGCGAAGAAGAAGAAACATTATCTCAATCATCAATGACAAATTAATATTGCGGCCAGAAAGCCTTCATCATCATATGTCACGAATAGATAATTTCACGAAAACATACAGTACAGAAGAGTTAGATGGGCAAAACACAGACTCGTATTCATTAGTGAAATTTAGAGAGGTTTACTTCTTTTGTCTGTGTTCGTTCTGAATAAAGTCAGTGCAACAGTGTTATCGTTTTTCGTGGAGAGACACGTGAGCTAATTTATGACCTGCTGCAAGTCTTCCAGTGCCAGAAGCATTTTCTTAAGAAACAACAGCCATCATGTGCATACAAACACAAAGTTGAGGCCTAGCAGTCCCTGAGATGCATGTTACATTAACCAGGCTTCTAGAGAATGTTTCAGATCAGATTGTGGTTTCACTGGAAAGCACATCATCATCATCATCATCATCATCATAACCACTTCTGCCGTTAAGCGTCGTAGAAAGGAACAATTTAACATCCAGTGCACGCTGGCTGGCACAGAATATTGTCATGCTGTGAAGGCGTTAAGTGTCCTTAATTTGTCGATCCGTTTTTTGTGATGTTTCTCTTGCCCATGAAGCTGATCTTCTGAGATGTAGTGCGTGTGAGGTATTTGATGTTGCTACATTCTAAATCGGTTTATATCGGTTTCTTCTACAAATCTCAGTAATCTGTGGTTTGCTAAAGTGTACATAATTTGAAATGTATTTTCCTTGTTTACAATGTGCCCAGAATTCAAAAATATGGCTGATGGAGCATTTAAAAATAAAATCTAGTCAAACTTTTCTCGCTGCTATGCCTGTTATCAAATTTTAAACCACCCTAATTCCTAAGCCAACAGTGAAAGAACCAGTGTCGACGTACGCCAGATCTAATTGCATTTACCAGTTTAAATGAACATGCAATGATGCATATGTAGGCAGAACTGATCGACCACTGGAGAAATAGGTCGCTGAGTATATTTCAATTTTGGTGGTAAAAGCAATGCAAAACACTAAGAAAAACAACTCAACAACAACGAATCAGACGAGTGGGCAAAATAATCCGCCATCAGCCATTGCCCGCCATATTTTGAATTCTGAGCACATTGTAAACAAGGAAGATGCATTTGGAATTATATATGAACCAGTTTAATCCAGAACTATAAAGTCCACAAACCTGGCTTTACCTTGCGTTTAACCTGGTGAAACTAAGATGTTTGATTGGGGTCGATTTTATGTTTTAGTTCGAAGGATTAGTTTCTTTGCTTCATTTTAATCAATTATTACGGCAGTATGCACCTGACAAGATACAGCGAAATATGTCAGGCAATAAATTGTACAATCTATTGTGTGGGTCTCACCCCCCCCCCCCCCCTTTTCAAATTCACAACGGAGAAACTTTGCTTTGAAATAACACAATAATGATTGCTTTCTTAAAACGCATTTTAACAACAATAATTTCGCACGCAAAATAACAATGACAAGAACGAGAATGAGTGAATGGATGAATGAATGAATGGATGAATGAATGAATGGATGGATGAATGAATAGATGGATGAATGAATGAATGGATGGATGAATGAATGGATGGATGAGTGAATGGATGAGTGAATGGACTGATGAATAAAAGGTCATATACAAACCCGGCCGTTTATTTTCTGGATGAGAATGTCAAGGGTGTGTACCAGCTGCTGGAAACTGGGTCGTTGTCGCGGGTCTTCCCTCCAGCACGCTCTCATAAGTCGGTACCTGCAATCGTTGCACTTTGATTATAATATACTGTCAACTGTCATCATCATCATCATCCCTCTCATTCTCACCTTCACCATTTTATCACCACAGCCCCATTACCATCGACGCTATCATAACAAATATCATCACCGACAACATTTATTGTCACCATCGACCAAATTAGTATCCCAGACATCCAGAATATTGTCAATATTACACCACCACCGCAACCAACAACATATGAAACATCTCAGCGGCTCTAAACATTCAGACTATCGTCATACGTACACCACTATCACAGCCAACAACATATGAAACATCTCAGCGGCTCCAAACGTTCAGACTATCGTCATACGTACACCACTATCACAACCAACAACATATGAAACATCTCAGCGGCTCCAAACATTCAGACTATCGTCATACGTACACCACTATCACAACCAACAACATATGAAACATCTCAGCGGCTCCAAACATAACCAGAATAGTTAGTATCAATTTCATTTCATTCTACTGCTCTTAAAAAAAACATGCGTTTGAAAATTTTTGTTGTTCGCCCTATTCTTTTCCGGAACTCTCATTTTGGGTGAACATCAATTTAACAGATCCGGTTTAGTTGTACGCAGACTGTTGGTTCCTCGTCTCTCAAGTAGATGCACCTCGACCTTGAATGGAACACACTCACATTACGACATGCTTGTTCGCGGGACAGTAGGCCTACCCCAGACCCCCTTCCCCCCACCTCTGCACCATAACAGGAACTAGGAACCCACACGGGGAACATGGTTGAACAATAACAACACTACACAGTAACTTATATTGTAGTGGAATTTTTCCCCACCAGACTCCTAGAACCCTGCATGCGCATGCATGCATGCACACACACACGCACACACACACACACACGCACACACACAATATACGCACACGCGCGCACACACACACACGCACATACACACACGCACATACACACACGCACGCACATCATATGAAGATTGTGGACACATACGTCATCATGTCACTGGTGCAGACAGTGCAGGCTGGGACAGACGGTGAGAAACTTACAGCTGTTCAGGGCACGCCGGCGGCTTCGACATCCGGTAGCCGTTTTCGTGTAACTCTCTCAGCTGTCCTAGAAAGACACACAGAGAAGGCATGTGTTAGTCTGGCAACTGTGACTGTGTTCACTGATGCGTGTGGCCCGTGTGTTGTGAGCCCCGCTGCCATACATGTCGTATAAGGCAACTAAAATGAGTTCGTGTGAGACTGATTCCCACTAATCATGAACACGCCTTAAAAGACTAATGTAGGAGGATTTCGTCGAAGGCCTATGCTCCACTGGGAACTGAAAAGCATAATAAAGATAAGAAGTAGGACTAGACAAAAAAAAAAAAAAAAAAAACACAAAAAAAAAAAGAAGAGGAAGAAGAGAAAGAAGAAGAAAAAGAAGAATACAAAAAAAAATAATAATAAGAAGAAGAAGACAAAAGTACACATAGAATAAAAACAAAAATGTCAAACCAAATAAATGGAAATTAGTTCTTATCCCATTATCTAATCGTTAGCACTCTTTGAAGTCCAACAGTTGATTCACGACAATTCACGCCCAGGTGATCTGATTATCTATACAGATGGTTCAGTGCTGAGAGAAAAGAGAAGTGCCTGGGGGGTTTGTAGCGAAAGTCAATAGAAAATCTTTAGTGCAAGACCACATGCATTTGACACCACATCTGGCATGAGAATGGAGGTGGGGGCGGTAACTGCAGCTCTCCAGTGGCTAGAGAACAAAATGCATACACATATCGTAAGTGTAACAAACTCTAAAAGTATGCTGAAAAAGGTGAAGACACGGATGCTTCGAGCAGAGTGGCTAGTTTCACTGGAAACGTCACAGGTGGTGAGCATACTTTGGCTCTGTTCTCCAGGCTATGCCGGCGTGGTGTGTAATGAATAGGCAGACAGATTGGCTTGATCCGCACCACTGGGTGGTGAATTGATACATGACAGGGCAGATGTGGTTAAGGTCCTTTGGGAACAAGCAACAGAATCAGTAGAGAAACACGATTATTATGGCCTGGAGAGAATGAGGCACCTGGGTGTAACCAGAGGGTCTGGTCGGCTGGCTACACTCAGAGGAAAGGCAAGACGGACTTTTAACTAGACTGTGACCGGTATCATTAGTATTGGAACTCTGCACTGGCTGCTGAAGATGAGGAAGGAGCATGCATGGGAATGCCACGAGTGCTGTGATGTCAATTCTTGACTCAACTCAACTCAATTAGTGGAAGCCTCCTGTACCTAAACTTTTACATTATTTTTATTTTACTGTATCTTTACTAAAAATATACTGTTCTCACTTTGTTTTCTGTGTGTCTGTCATTCGAATATATAGAAATGCATTTATCTGATTTTCATTTTGATTTAGAAAATTCCAGGAAATGTGCGCATACTTTGACTCAACGTTTCAGGTTCAAAGCCCGAATAAAAACAGCACCCAAAAATACTTCATTATGTCGTGGAAATGAACGGTTGTATTCGCCAACTGCTTCAACATCAGTATCAGGGACCATATCACCCTCGACAGAAGCTGCAGAGAAGATATCCCTGGTACAGTGAACACTTGAGTCAAAACGCCGATTGATGAGAACACAAATGGGAATGATGCTGTCACTGATGGATCGGTGACCCGGGCAAGCAAAGTGCATGGGGGTTCACAGTAAGCGCAAAGGGAGAAACATTAAAAAGATGAGTGGTACCTTTGCTGTTTCAACCAGCATCCTGACAACGGAGATCATGGCTGCAACAAGGGCACTGACATGGCTGGATACTCAAGAATTCACACAGGGTGCATACAGAGCCAGTCAATAAATATGCTCAAGAACATTCAGGTCGGCTTCATATGACATGCATGGATTTTCTCATTAAATGTATCGCAGCAAATTGGCTTTATTTGTGAGTAGTATGTCAGGCTTATTATAAATATTATTTAAGGAGGAAAGTTAAAGGTGTAGGGAAGTTGGAGGTGGAGGGAAACTGTAGGTGGACTGGATGTGGAGGACAGTTGCAGGTGGAGTTCAAGGTGAAGAGTGGCGATGGCGGTCAAGTGACCGGCCTTTTCTTTTTTCTAAAATGTTGGGCAGGAGCGACTCCACCTTTCACATCGGGTCGGTCCGAGTATCCCTTATTGTGGTCCCCTGAATCTAATACTATTTGATGCCTCCGCTTTCTAGCCCCTGTACCGTCTAATGTTTTAACAAGGTAAAATGACTACAAAAAGAAGAAGGAAGTAAAAAAAATAAGAAAAAGAAGAAGAAAGAAGAAAGAAGAAGAAAAAGAAGAAGAAGAAGAAGAAGAAGAAGAAGAAGAAGAAGAAAAAGAAGGAAGAAGAAGAAGAAGGAGGAAGAAGAAGAAGTAGAAGAAGAAGAAGAAAAAGAAGAAGAAGAAGAAGAAGAAGAAGAAGAAGAAGAAGAAGAAGAAGAAGAAGAAGAAGAAAAAGAAGATGAAGAAGAAGAAGAAGAAGAAGAAGAAGAAGAAGAAGAAAAAGAAGAAGAAAAAAAAGAAGAAGAAGAAGAAAAAGAATAAGAAGAAAAAAAAGAAGAAGAAGAAGTAGAAAAAGAAGAAGAAGAAAAAGAAGAAGAAGAAGAAGAAGAAGAAGAAGAAGAAGAAGAAGAAGAAGAAGAAGAAGACGACGAGGAAGAGGAAGAAGAAGAAGAAGAAGAAGAAGAAGACGACGAGGAAGAGGAAGAAGAAGAGGAAGAAGAAGAAGAAGAAGAGGAAGAAGAAGAAGAAGAAGAAGAAGAAGAAGAAGAAGAAGAAAAAAAAGAAGAAGAAGAAGAAGAAGAAAAAGAAAAAGAAGAATAAGAAGAAGAAGAAGTAGAAGAAGAAGAAGAAGAAGAAGATGAAGAAGAAGAAGAAGAAGAAGAAAAAAAAGAAGAAGAAGAAGAAGAAGAAGAAGAAGAAGAAACAGAAGAAGAAAAAAAAAAGGAGAAGAACCTAACATATGATGATATTGTTTGTTTTACAATAGTAACAAAAAAAAAAAAAAAAAAAAAAAAAAAAACCACTCGTTTGAGGCTCAACACATAGAATTCAAGTCAGATAATCTCTGCTTGTTCTTGGGACGAATCTGTAAAGTGATACTGATTAGAGCTCTCTTTTTGTCAGAGTTCGTTTGCGTTTATGTTTTGGGGACCGTCTGTTTTTTTTTTCAAGACAGGGGCGCCGTTTAGAGGAACATTTGGAGAGTAATGCTTGTTTCGCTTTGACTTCCCAACTATTAACAATGCACGTCAGTATAGGTGCGTCGCCTAACAGGAGGAGATTAGTTGCGTATCCTTTACAGGACGTTGCAGAACCAACCCCAGCAGCCCCTGACTGTTGTGTGGTTTCTCTAGGCAATTTACGTCCTGTAGCTTGCCATAGCTTACTGGACGGTCGGCCCCCTGATACCACTGTCGAAACCAACGCAAGGCGCATGCCCCGCAGCTGGGATCGAACCTGGCACCCGGCATTACGAAGCGTTCGCATTGACTTAGCCACAGAGCTGACCGCCTAATATGGGCAACGGAAAAAAACATAGCAGAAGAGCTACAGACAAGAAAGGAGAGCTATAGGGTTAGACACTAGAAGGTTATCCACAGACAAAGGAAAAGATGACTAGGAATGAAAGAGAGGACCACCCACGCAACAACAGTATTATATTAGTCTGAAATATGGACAGCCTGGGGAATGTCTGTTATATTCTCAAGGGCACCTCCTTTTGTTTGTAAACATCTATAGAGTCATGGTTGTTTCGCCTTGACTTCCCACTTCTCTTCGCAGATCGTTTCACCCTGTTATTTTGCTGTCGGTATTTGTTGACTATAGGAAAGCCTTTGACATGGTTGATCACAAATTTTAATAAGTAAACTAAAGACTTTAAAAACTAACGATAATTTAGTGACATTAAAAAAAGTTTTTTTTTTTTGGGTCTGATAGGCAGCAGGTAGTCTCCCCTCAGTAACCGTTATTCAAAA